TAAAAAGACCTCCAGATTTATGGCAAAATGACCTGAGGAGGTTCGCTGAATCAAGATAGACAAAATCACAGAAAACAGATGTGTATGCAAAATAGGGAGGGGGCCTTCATCGATCGGTGGATCGAAAATAGTTGATGATATTTCAAACCAATGACTAGAAGGATGAGTGAAGTACCCCTCAAGATTTTGCCATGAACTTCTGTTTTCTGTGATTTTATCTATCTTTATTCAGGGAACTTCATCAGGTCATTCTGCCATCAATCTCGAGGTCTTCTTGCGGGCCCTTTATTCCTCTCTTGTAACCCAACCGAATGTCCCCGTAGTCCTGCAATGGTCAGATCATCTTGCAACATGTCCTGCCCATTACCACTTTAATTAATTCACTCGGGCAATGACATCACAGACGCCTGCTCGCGCTGTGACCTATTCATTTATTTATCGTACTTTTTCTTGTCATTCAAAATACACATTTTCCCATGCTGCGTTGCTTGGTCCACAGTTTATGGGTAGGTTTGCGGAGTTTCAGAGTCTGCGTTTTGCCCCCCCCCCCCATAAATTAGCAATGGGAGCACTGCGTTTTGCAGTCTTCCAAAAGTGCTTCGTGCCATCTTTATCCTTCTGTTGATTTCACATGGTCTGTTTTCTGTTGCAGATGTAAACTTACAGGATAGACGTAGTTTTGCACCTCCTCGATCCCAAGTTCGTTGACTTCTTCATGGTCGCAGGGTCACTTATTTTTTAACCATGGCCTGAGTCTTCTTGGGGTTCATTTGCAATCATTCTTTGATGCTGATGTCGTTCAGCTCTTGGAGTCTTTTCTAGAGTCCTTCTGATCATTTTATACAGAATCAGAAGAATCGCAGATGGATCAAGTATCATCCATTGATGTTCAGGCCCTGATTTTCACAACGGAATGTTTTGAAAACCTGTTTTAGGGCTGCTGTCAATAGCTTCGGTGATATTGGGACTCCCTGTCAGATGACCTTTCCGATATTGAACTTGCTTTATGCTTTCGTAAAGCTTCACATAACCAGCTGCATTGTTGTAAATGAAGCCGATTTGATGCTTGTATCATTTATTGATTTCCTAGCTCATCCAGAAATGCAGTACAGAACGAATATACAGTAAGTCGAAAGTCTTCTTGCAATCAAGAGCCTCAGGTAGCGAGAGAGGTGATATTCTTTGTTTGTCTGAATTGCTTGTTGTACCACCTGACTAATCTGAATCCCGCTTGCTCCTTTGCCTGTGCGAAGTTCAGTTTTCCTTAAAGTCTGTTAGTCAGTACTTTCGTGCAGATCTGCAGATAATTGGCAGCGGACTGGTCGGACAGTGGTTCTTCAGATCCTGGTTGTTTCGTTTTTGTAGAGCATAATAACCGATGTGGTACTCGATTCCTCAATAGCCTGTAGTTGTTTGACTCAGCATGAATGCAAGCGCATAAGGTATAAAATAAAGTATGTATTTTGTTTGACATTATGCTGCTTAAATGTTTCACTCTGGAATTAGGGAATGCACAACCATTGTTGATTTGGAGCAAGATTCATAGGGACCTTGCGTTTCAAGACTGAGAACTAGCTGTGGGGTTGGGTTCAACCTGGAAACGTTTATCCCTTTTAGACGACGACGCTTGAATAATACCATGTTGGTGGCTTGATTTTGGAAGGTCATCATATTGTGGAGACTTTTATGGATACACCATGGATAAACGGAGTAAAGGTGAAACGGACTTGATGTTGGGTTATGTCGTGCCTACAGTCAAAGTAAGACCGTCGGTTGTTTTGACATAAACGACAATGCCTTGTCTCTGCTTTCTCCATCCAGGCGATCAACGTTCTTTCCCTTGTGTCCTTTTAAAGAATGTTCATCTTTTCCGTGTTAGACTGTGGTGGCGGAACATGATACAATTGCCTTTAACGAATTCGTTTGCCGATGATCTGTGATCGTCCACGTTCCCCATCCGAGGTCCATTAGTTCATTCCCACGGGATGCCGTATTGCACCTTTACGTCTTCCTCTGAATGCTGGTCTTCCGTCCAGCTTCTTATCGATGCGATCCATCCCCTAACAACAACGGCCTTGTTTTCCGATGGTCTTGCAAATTTACCTACGGGATGGAGCGAGGGAGGTAGAATAAAAATAAGTTTTTCCACTGTAATATTCATCATTCTTCACCCTGAGCACGTTCGAATGATGATTGATTGTTATAGCTGCTTCAAATAAGGCAATTGCAGGCATCATTTGTATTCATTGATGTAGTTCCACAGAGGCCGCCAATTTACGTTAGTCGAACAGTGTCACTGGAGTGGTGCCCTATTACACATGAAATCGACCTGACAGACGAATATTTATATTTATTATTCTATTTTGTTCATTCAGTTATGCTCCAAAACAGCGCTTATCTGAATAAAGATGAAGGACACTCTCAGAAATGAAGTTCAGCTCAAAATCTCAGGTCTTAAGCAAGCATCATATTCTGGCAAGCAGTAACAGAAATCGATTTTTGCTATCAGACCGCTTCCGTATGCAGTGTGGCATTGAAATCTGGTTTCTTTCTTAATGTCCAGAAATTGACAGTTAAGAGTAAGCGCATTTCCAGCAGGCAAGGTCGAAGTTCCTCAATTTCATCATCCCGAGACAAGGCACCGACCAAGTAGAGTCTAAAAAAGAAATCGCCCCTGCTCTTCCAGTATTCTAGGCTGCTTGCTCAATATTTGATATGTGAAAGGAGTATGCCTTCCTA